GCCTCATCGAAGGCCGCCAGGCTGATATGGTGGCTCATCATCTTCTTGATGGCCTTGAAAGCCTTGCAGCCGGCAGTGGTGCCTGTCCCCAGGCCACCTTCCGGAAACTCCGCTCCCGGTTTCTGCCATTGGCCCAAAACCTTAGCAGCATGGCCATATTCCGCTGGCAGATAGCCCCGAAGCCAGTTCGCACACCCAAGGAATTGCTGGATGTGGAGCTTTTCCTTAAGCGGCGGGAAATCCACGACCGCTTGGCATCGCTCCTCGTCGGGCGCACTCCCGTGCCGCCCGATCCGGTGCCCGAGGAGCTTACCCTCTGACACACAGATCTCAGCCTTGGCGACACCAAAGGAGAACCCAAAGAGGATGCTCTTGTCGAGGAAAGCTTCCAAAGAGACCAGGTGATCGAGAAGGTGCGGGCAAGCACCCTTGTGCCTCGCACCCATATCCTCCCGCAGCTTGTCGTAGTAGTAGTCGGAGGGAGGTTCCTCGATCATCTTCTCAATGTCGGCCGATTCCACTATGTGGTACACCGGCTCGTTCCTAGTGTCCACTCTGGAACCACTAGTGACGTCTCGGCCGTGGCTTCCTCCAAGCCCCCTCGTAGCGGAACCCGCATCCCATCCTGCCCAACGCGGCCCCGTCTTCGTCCTGAAGACCGCGAGATCGGACGTGACGGGCACGGTCGACCAGTCGACAGACTCGGGCCAAAGCCTGAGGTCCCTAGTCTGCCACAACCGCCACGGGCCGCCAGAAGACTTCAAGAGGCAAGTCTCGTACGGAAGCCTTTCGACATCCGGCCGATTCTCCGGGTCACCTTCCTGGGGCCTGCCGCTCCAAAGGCCAGCCATTCCTCCCTTCGTCTGCCACCACTGGCCCTCAGTGGGGATGGAGGAGAGGAAGGACACGGCATCCGGATCCGTAACCACGGACTCCGTGGCCCAAGGCCCTCCTAGGACCGTGCTTACGGCGGCAAGGGCGAAAACCGCCCCAACCCTCAGGCCCTTACGCCAACCCCTGCTGTGCGAGCATGCGCCGCAGCCTTGCAGGCCACAGACGGCGGTCCTCTCGGTGGACCCGCACGCAAAGCATCCAGGGAAGGTCGAGTCTTCGGCAGTGCCTAATCCGCAGTTCCCACACGGGTCACCACTCGCGTCCGTAAAGAGGGTCTCAACCCCTCCGCATTCACACGCGGTGGTCTGCGCGAGCCCGGTCCGGACCTCGCCGACGACGGCACCCGGAGAGACAGTCGTGTCCTCTTCGGCTACCAGCAAGATCGAACCTTCCTCGGCTCCTGTGGGCCACAGCCCAGGCACTGCTTCGCAGTTGGCGGACTCTACCGGGAGGACAGCCTCCGTAAGGGAGCCATCCTGGCCTCCACTGCCTTCCCTCTTCACAGGTGCGATGACCCCATCTCCGGCCAAGAGCTCCAGCGGGTTCTCCCCGCTGTACCGGAGCAGGTCCCTGCCTCCGGTACCCGGCTCAAAGCACAGAGCACCGTCGAGACTAGAAAGCCTGGACTCGAAGGCGTAGGCGCGGTCCTTCCGCGACCTACTGTAGTCTTCGCACCTGGGGATCTTAATCCCAAGGGTTTCCAGGGAGTGGCAGTCAGGAAGGGGCTTGAAGCCCAAGCCCTGCCGTCCCGAGCAATCCAAGGCGCGGCCGCCAAGGATGAGCCCATGCCAATCCGAGGTTCCTTTCGCGGCTATTTTACAGCGCACGAATATCTCTGGACCCTCGCTGCAGTTGTCGGGGGAGAGCCCCTCCAGAAAGCGGACTCTCAGCACGACGGCCCCCTTCAGGGGCACCGGCTTCCCTGCAGCGATCCCATGGACGAACTCCGGATGCACCCAGCGTTCGAACTTCACGACAGGAAACCTCCGGTCCTCCGTGCCGATCCCCAAGGCAGCAGCCCGGTTGAGGATCCCACAGAGGAGTTCCTCCGTGATGTGGTTCGAGCCTGCACACCCGTCCAGCATGCATTCCACCATGCCGTCGATGACCTGCACGACTGTTCTGTACTGGTACCCCCCGACCTCGTTCTCGCAGAGGTGCCACCAGTCCTGAGGCAGCTCGTCCAACGAGCTGAACTTCGACGACGAGCTCTTGGCAAGCGGGAAAGCGGAGGAGTTCGCCGCAACAACCGTGCCAGCGCTCCCAATCTGGATGGAGAGCGTAGCGAAGGGATTCACCATCCCGGCGCCACTCGGGGCCGCCCAGTTCGAAGGCAACGCGGCTCCCCCAGTGGCGGGAAGCGAATGGACCATGTCACAGTCCGCTCCCTTACGGCACGACCCGTTCTTCTTGAAGAAAGGGCAGATAGTCCCTGGCGGCTTCGCGCCCGCCTTGGACTTCGCCTTGGGCTTGGCCTTGGCCTTGCCTTTGGGCTGCCCTCCGGGTCCACCCTTGCCCTTGCCCTTGCCCTTCCCCGGCGTTGTCGCCAGGGTGGACGCGTCCCGCTCCTTCTTGGCCGCGAGGGCCTTTTTGCGGAGCTCCTTGTCGTGCGAGTAAGGGCACGCGTCCCCTTTTGGGCAGTTCCCGTGGTCGCGGAAATGGAAACAGATAGGCTTACCTTTTCCATTTCCTTTCGGACCAGCGGCAAGCGTGGAAGAGGCGGCCGCCTTGGCCGCGGCCTTAGAAGCCTTGAGCTCCGTCCTCAGCTTCTCGACCTCCTTCCGCGCGGCGGACAGGGCTGGGTCTTCCGTCGAACCTGCGTACACGCTATTAGCCGTCACCCGATGCGCAGCCTCACGCTGCTCATATTCGAGGACGACCTTATGCGCTTCTTCCCAGGTCGAAGGGCCTCGAAGCCCTGCGGATGCGCCGTCGCTAGGCCACAACCGCTTATCACCGCGGATCTCCTTCTGGAGATGTGGAGGCATCTTGCGCAAGTAGCTTAGGAAGAGCTCCCTCGCTGTCTTGCCAAGACCCACACTCTCCAGCTCCGCGATGGAGGCCTCAAACAGGGGCTCGAACTGGTGCCCTGTGAGACGGCCCTTAGTGAGGGCGACGTGCTCCGCGTCCACCCTCATCTCCTTCTCTTCTCGGCTCTCGCCGAAGACAAGGTGCCGCTGCTTGATCCTTTCGTAAACGGCTTGGGGATTCTCAGTAACTTCCCCGGTCTTGGAGGCAGCCTTGTACACGTTAGTAAAGGTCTTAAGCCTCGAGCCGCGGCAGCGAGCACGAAGGGCGATGAGTTTCTCCCGGAAATTCATCCCCTTGCAGTTGTTGGCAAGGCCACAGACGTCCTCGAACTCTTCGTAGAACTGGACCACGTCCCGGATGTCGGAGCGATCGTCGGTGAGCGAGGGCCATTGGAGGTCCGTCTTCACGGTCGTGATCGACGTCTGACCTCCGCGAGACGCCAAGGCCTCCTTGAGCGCCTCGGTCTGGGCCGCCAAAGCTGCAGCGAGCTCTCCGGCTCCGCCGCTGGCGGAGTGAGGCTCGCCGGGCTTATCCTTCTTAAGCCCTTCGAGCTCTATCTCCAGAGCCGCAAGGCGGGACTTCAGGGGTGAGTCCCCCGGACCAGGTTGCGGATCCTCAGGGATCGCGAGCTGAAGGTCCACCGGGAGAGGCGCCGGTGCTCCGGACTTAGAGCCCGACTCCGCAACGGCGCCCGTCCGGGCCGCCAGGGCCGGGACAGAAGAAGGAGTGCTCCAAACCTTCTCGGGATCGCCGCTGCTCTTGCCTCCCAGGGCCAAGATCAGCTCGCCGAGGCACGAGATCTCCTTCTCGACCTCCTCTCGGTCTTCCGACCCAAGAGAAACCGCGGCAACGGTAAACCTGGTGCGCAGGGCCCGCACCATCCTGGCAGGGTGCCAGTCACCTCCCATTTTGCCGTATTCCTCGGCAAGGATGGTGGCCTTGGTAGTGATCTTCTCAAGATCCTCCACCGTGACCTCTGCCTGGTGCGCCTTCAAGGCCACAACCAGCCTTGAAACCCGCGTCAGGTAATCCGCGACCGGTTCCTGGTCGGGACGGTAGAGCTCCCGCAGGTCCGCCTGCAGGGTCTCCGCCGTGACGGGACCACCCGTCCCAGCAGACGAGGGAGGCCCGGAACGGGCCGGGCCGCCGGCCACCGGCGAGAGAGCAAGCGCACCAACACGGCGCGCCGTCTCGGCCACGTCCGCCGGCGCAGCGGCAGGACGCGGAGCCGGTACCCCGGCCTCCGGCAGAAGCTCTTCAGAGCTGGGGCCCGGATCGCCATCCTGAGCACCCGGGCCCGCTTCCGCAGCTGGAGCTTCCTCATCTTCCTCTTCATCTTCTTCCTCTTCCTCTTCGGCATCGAAGTTGTCGTAGAGGAATTCCATCGTCTCCTTCCACAGACGCTGTTCATCTGCTAGCGTCGTGGATCGTCCGTCCTTCTTCTTGGTGGGACGGGACCCCGTTTCCTTACGCCAACGGAGCCAGTACATAAAGGGCATCTTCTCCGGGTACTCCACTGACCCATCCTCGATGCACCTCAGCAACGTGGCTCCTTCCGGCTGACCTGCGACCTCAGCGCTCATGGTCGCCTAGCGAAGGAGAGAGCCCCGTGCCACACAGGACCACGGCCTCAAGGCGCACGACAAGCGCGCCTTCGAGGCCACGTTAAAAGATTGCGGCGCAGCAGCCGCCTGGGTGGCCGTTTCCCAGAACAGCCCCCAATTGTGGAGAACGGAAACCCAAAGGGGCAGCACGCACCCTCGTTTTCCGTCCAAGCAGAAAGTCCAACGACCGTGACAGGTCGAACGTCCGCCCAGGACGGGCTGCGCGCAATTGCGTCGCGGCAACGAGAAGCCACCAACGACACACTGCCGTGCTCACTTGAGCCAAAAATGTTATGAATACGAATTACAGAAGAGCATGCATAAAAGCATACAGCACAACAGCCAGCCCGCAGACTATGTACAGTTACAATATGGTGCTTGACTTGACCCCTGAACCCTAAACCTTAACCCTAAACCCTTAAGGGAACCCTTAAGCCTCAAGCCTCCAAGCCTCAAAGCCCTAAGCACGAGGCTAAGTTTCCAGTTCGCGCTGATGGATGTCCTGACGACCCTCGGTGGTGTAGGGGTTAGGGTTTAGGGTTTAGTTTAGGGCTCAAGACCGTTTCGTTCAGGTACCTCTTAGGTTTTAGAGGGTTTAGGGTTTGGGATTCAGAGAATTAGCCGTAAACTTTAACCCCCGACACCTTAAACCCTGAACCCACAATCTTAGTGACAAAAGACCGTCGGGCCTGTAGGGTGTTGATGAGGCTTTACCAACTGCCTTTGAGGTTTGATAGGTCTGTTGGGAGAATATACTGTAGCGGTTAGGGTTTAGAGGTTAAGGGTCTAGGATTTAGTTTTTAGGGTTTAGGGGGAATTAGGAATCCCTAAGGATCCATTGCTCAAATGCTATAACCTTTGGCTCCAATGTCCCTTTACACGGAGTTCTTTACGAAACTACCCCTGCAGAGGAACTTCCCCGTATATGAACCTTTGAAGAAACCTTGAACGGAACCCAATAAAATCCTGTCTTGTAATTCTGAAAGCCCATATGGGCTTTCTCTGCACCGAACCCAAGCCCTCCCAGGACATTGCGCAGCCACTTTAAGCTGTCTGCAATGCCCAGCATCGCAAGCGACGGCACCTCAAAGCAATCGGTTCTTTTATGCAGATCCTTCGAGGGATCTATGTGGGTTCACTAAGGCACTAAGGTTTATAGGTTGATGGTCCATATGGGAGTTTCCGAAAATAGGGGACCCTCATGAAGTACCCTACATAGTTGGTTCCCTGGTATAAGGACCCCAAAATACGGTACCCCTAATTTTCGGAAGCTCCCTTATGCCGCGTGTAGCCGGCTTTTACGGCTTGAAGTGTTTGTAAGGTGGTCTGAAGCATCAGAATCATAATCTAGCTAGGGCCTCGGCTTTAGGGTGTAGGGTAATTAGCTACTCGTTAATTAATACGTAATGCAAAAATGAACAACATCAAATAGTTTACTATAACTTAAGATTTTGTCCTTACGATCTGTGCACATTCCCAACTCCGAGGATCTTTCGGGCTTGAGCCAGGTTCGAGGTTTCAGATTGCAGGTTAATTGGGGTGTTTGGGGTTGGGGGAAGGGTTTAGGGGTTTAGGTTTGGGGTTTACAGGGGTTTGGGGTTTAGGGTCAATTAGCGGGTTTTTTGAATTAGGGTTTGAGGCAATGCGTAAGGACCTCTCAGTGTGTTTGCACGGGTAAAACGTAGGATCCGCAATTCGTTCCTTGTTAGTTTAAATACCGCTTCGGATTTGGGGATTAGGATTGACATGTTGCCGGTAAATGAACGTAGGAATAGATTTGGTAGCAATTAGCTGCATAATTACGGCTTAGGGTGTTTAGGGTCCAGGGTAACTATAAGTTCAACAACAAATCATTATTTCCCCGGGTAGTCCGTGTGCAGCTCGACTATCGTTGACCCCAATACCCTCTTAACATGGAGCTTGGCCGCTTTCTTGTTTTGATGACCTTACTCTAGGATACCCAGTAGTAGTACGCTTATTCCCTTTTGTAGTCCTAGGTTCCTTATACAAAGTTACCCAATACCAAAAAGGGAGCCATTTTTATTCCTAGGTTACTGGGCATCCTAGTAATTCGGAGTTTATCAGGCTTTTTGGGTGCGCAAGCCCCACTTCGAAGAGCATGGGACTTAGTAACAAGTATAGGGTTATAATTAAGGTAACTATATACCTATAACTACTTATAACCCCACTTGAGGTACCCACTTAAGGTACGTGTAACCCTACTTAGGAAGCCCCACGATACTCCAAGCAGAGGCATGCAGTACGCAATCAATGTCAGTTGCGCCGGATGCGACGCTTGCGTGTCGCTCCTGCTGCAGTTTGGACCATAGGGTTTAGTGTTATACAATGTTATACAGGTTTAGAGTCTCGGTTTGTGGATTTCTTCAGGGGTTTGGGTTGAGAGCATCTCATTCAGTTTCTATTGAATTCGGGCCTCTGCCGAGGTTAAGTCAGATTTAGTTTGGGTTTAGTTTAGTTTAGGGTCAAGGGTGCATTTCGCGCTGTCTCCCGAACCCTTGACACAAGTTACCATTCTCCCCGCTTGCTCCTCGCCCTGAGCCTCCTCGTTACGGGCACGCAAAAAGGGCTCTGTTCAGGCTTTGTAGGGTTCTAGGGTTTAGGGTTTAGGGTACGGTACGCTTCAAAGAGCACTTAGTTATATCCCTTTCATGGGAACTTGAGGTTGAATAGATGATTTGAGCTTCCCTTCAAGGTTGGGATATTCCTTATGGGCCTGGGGGTTTTGGTTTAGGGTTTTAGGTTTTAGAGTACAGGCTAGGATGCCCAGTAGTACCCTTATTCCCTTTTTGTAGTCCTAGGTTCCTTATAAAGTTACCCAATACCAAAAAGAGAGGCCTTTTTATTCTTAGGTTACTGGGTATCCTAGCAGGGCAAACGGGCCTCAGAGTTGTGGATTGTTTCGGGCTCCGAAGGTTTGGAGACTGGGATCCGTTCACACCCAAACTTCCCAGACCTTCCAAAATCCCTTAATTCAGGAATATACCTTAAATCATATTAAGGATCCTACTATAATTTCAGGGATATTCCTTAATTAAGGGATCTTAGACTCCCCTCACATCCTAAATACTATAGATCCCTTAAAGGATCCCTTAAAGGAGCCCTAGGTCCCTATATTCCTTAAGGGATTTTGGAAGGTCTGGGTTGTTGTTCTCGCACATGGTCTCACATCGGGACGCTCTCAACCCTAAGCTCTGAACCCCAAACCCCCTAAACCCTAAAATTCTAAAACCTGAACCCCAAACCTTTAGGGTTTAGGGTTTAGGGTTTCCTAAACCCTAAAATTCTAAACCCTGAACCCCAAAACCCCTAAACCTTAGACTGAGACCTGAACCTGAAATTTGTTATCCTGTCCGGTCGATGCAAGCCCGAGTTAAGCCCCAAAGGCCCCTGAGCGCTTTGGGTGTAAGGTTTGCATGCCTTAAGGTTTAGGGTTTTGGGGTCTGATGTTCCGAGGAATGATTCAAAGGGCTCCAATGGGGGTTTAGGGTCCAGGGTTTGGAGTTTCGGGCGAGAGTGGGATGAAGGTAGGTGGGGTAGTCTTAGAATAAGAGTTTAGGTACGGCCCCCTTACAGTAAGAGTCTATAATAGGGCTACTATTAAGGTCCTAATATATCTATGTTATGAAATATTATTCAACTATTACTGAGTGGGGGCCGTACCTAATTTGCATGCCTTAAGGTTTAGGGTTTGGGGGTGTAGGGTTTTGGGGCTTTGGGTTTAGAGTTCAGGGCTCCTTTCTTCCTTTAAGGGATCTGTAAGGGATCTATCCTTAGGGGCACTTAGAAATAATTTTAAATATTTGGTTATTATAACCCCTAAGAAACAGCTAAAATTATAATTTTCGCTAGGGTTCTAAGTTCAGTATAGTATCGGGATTCGGGTTTTGTTTAGAGCTTGTTGGAATTATTTAAGGCCCCTTCCCCCTTTTGCAGGGAAACACCGGAAGCGCCAATACCTGGAAGCATGTCGAACAGCCTGCATCACGTTTACAAGTGTCTCAAGCCAAAAAAGCTGGATGCAATCCGCTGAGAGTAAGAATAAAAACCCAGTGACAACCATCATGCGGTGACCACACTCACACCAGAAAACGTACACCCTAAGCTGCCTTCGCCCCCTCAACCTAAAGCCTAAGCCTAGGCCCAAAAGCGCTAAGCCGCTAAGCTGCCCTTACCATGTTCAGATGCTCAGGCTCTGGCCAAAGAGAGCCAGCATTTTCACCGTGGACCCGGACTGCAAGGGTTTTGGGCTTTAATTGCGTACCTGTTTATGGGTTTACGGTTTAGGGCTTCGGAACCCTAAACCCTAAACTGTCTGGTTTAGCTCTTCTGTCTGGCTCTGAGTAGGGGAATGGGGGAATGGATCCCTATGATAGTCCCTTCAGGTCCCCTATAGTAGTCCCAATAAGTTTAGGGTTTAGGGTTTGGGGTTTTGGGGTTTAGGGTTTAGGGTTTAGGGTTTAGGGTTTAGGGTTTGGGGTTTTGGGGTTTAGGGTTTAGGGTTTAGGGTCTTTAGGGGTTAAGGCTAAGGTTTACTGGGCTTAGAGGCCTGGTCTTTGGATTTCGGTTTTAGGGTTTTGGAACCCCTAAAGACTGAGACGCCGAGCATCAGGCCACCTTAGCAGACTGACTAGAAGATGCTGTAATCACTACCGATGCAGTTCTATCAAAGCCTACATAATTGCCAATATTACTCCTTAGTTCCTTCCAAAAGTTGTACTGGAAAGCAGCCCAAAACCCTATTCTAATTAATAAGGCCCCTACAGTACCTCAGTTGAGTCAATTGTGTTCAGGCTTTAGGGTTCAGGTTTGGGGTTTGGGGTTCAGCATTTAGGGTCTGGGGCCTATGCCGTGCTTCGACCCTGCACCTTAAGCCCTGATTTCGGAGGAGCCTTAATCTATGAAAGTTTGGACTTTTTTGGGCCCCGGTTAGTGAAGGAGCAGGTGGCTCAACAAGGTGACGGTTGGATAGTTATCTTTTTGGGGGTACCGTTTTAGGTCTGCAGAAGAGCCCGGCACCCTTATGACAAGGACCCTAGAGGAACTACTGTTGATGGACAAAATCCTGCATGACCCCAAGGACTCTAAACTATGGGAACTATGGTATATTCCTTATAAAGGGGGTAATGCAAGATTTTGTCCATCAACAGTAGGTCCTTTATCTTTCGGGCCCCCTTATTAAAGCCGGACAGTAGGAAAAAGGGTACCGTTATTGTCAACTAGGGGGCTACGGGGCGGACTTGGTTAGAGAACTACCCTGGTGCGATGGCCACCCCGGAGCATCAAAGAGCATGAAATCAAAGGGGAAAAGGAGGGACTCTTAATAAGGACCCCTAGGTATATACCCTTAATAGCCATTATATACCCACTATATGGCCCATTATAGGGTAGGGGTCCCCATTAAGGGTCCCTCCCTTTCCCCCTTGATTAAAGGAACCCTAAACCCTAAACCCTAAACCCCCAAGGACCCCTTAAAGGAACCTTAAAGGTCCCTTTAAAGGAGCACTAAGAGCCTTTGATAGACTAAAAAAGACCCAATGAGACCACGTTGCTTCGTCGAGCAACAAACAGCCTCAGCCCGGCAGCAAGAGCTGAAGGCTCCATGTACCTTTATAGTAGATACTTAAGCCTTAAAAGGGGTCCCTATATAGGTACTTTCAGGCCTAAGTATATACTATGTGGGTACATGGAGCCTTAGGGAGAGCTGAAGATGAGGAGGGGCCAGGGCCAAAACTCACAGGCTGCTGAGAAGACCTTCGGTTTAGGGTTTAGGGTTAGGGTTTAGGGTTTAGGGTTTAGGGTTTAGGGGTTTAGGGTTTAGGGTTTAGGGTTTAGGGTTAGGGTTTAGGGTTTAGGGTTTAGGGTTTAGGGTTTAGGGTTTAGGGTTAGGGTTTAGGGTTTAGGGTTTAGGGTTTAGGGTTTAGGGTTTAGGGTTTAGGGTTTAGGGTTTAGGGTATGGGGTTTAGGGTTTAGGGTTTAGGGTTTAGGGTTTAGGGTATGGGGTATGGGGTTAGGGTTTAGGGTTTAGGGTTTAGGGTTTAGGGTATGGGGTTAGGGTTTAGGGTTAGGGTTTAGGGTTTAGGGTTTAGGGTATGGGGTTAGGGTTTAGGGTTTAGGGTTAGGGTTTAGGGTTTAGGGTTATGTTTTAGGGTTTAGGGTTCAGCCACCAGGTGCACCGGCTCCGACAAAGGTCAATGGCGCAAAGCCTTTGATATGATTCTTGCGGGATGTGCATGAGCACGCCCCGCTGACCATGCCAACCCTGGGTATGTGAGGAGATTCCGAAGCGAATAGGGGTTTTAGGATGAAGGGTCCCTAAACCCCTAAACCCTAAACCCCTAAACCCTAAACCCCTAAACCGTAAACCCTAAACTCACTATTTCGATGTTGCCTTGCCGACCTTGAGCAAAAAGACAAGGGCTTGGTTACTAAACTCTACGCCTTGGCCCAGTTAGGGTCCTTAAGGTAATGCAGGATTTAAATCACCAGCCGTATGTATAGAGTTCAGCCTAGCACTCCTCATGTAGTATCTCTAGATTTTAGACCTTGTATTTTGTAGACTTAGCATCTAAAGGAGGAACGGCTCTGAACACCCGTTTCAGGAGACGGGGAAGCAGCAACTTTATGGAGCCATCGGCGACTTGTCTTTCAGTTGATCAGTTATCTTTAAGACCATTGAAACCTATGTTTTTTGTTTACTAGCCTTTGTGTGTTGCAGACGTTTAGAGTTTTTGGTAATGAACGTTTAGGGCTTTAGGGTTTAGGGCTCCGGGTATGGAAATTACACAAGTTTTCTAAACAGCCTGAAGCCTTTACACGCTTGTGCTGTGTTTTTTCCTGCAGCGGCTTTTGGAGTTCGGTGAAGTTCATCTTAAACCGTAAACCCCGTAAAAGCCCTTAGCCCGTTCTCGCTGAGGTTCTGTCCGAACTGATTTCCAATTTCCTCCATCCCCGGGCGCTGTCCAGGCCAGGGAGACAGGGCGTTTGGGGGTTGTTGGATTAAGGGTACAGATTCAGGGTTAATTAAGGTCGGCGAGGCTCGTGGTTCCTGTCGAGGTTCTAATGTTTTTTGAGTTGACTCTACCAAGGTTTCATACGCGTCGATAGAGGGCATTATAAGGGTGTCTGGACGTGTGAGGGTTTAACTGAGGCTTTGCGTAGGCTTTCCCACGTTTAGGCTTTTGGATTTCAGGTTTGGGGGCTTTGGATTGCGGCTTGAGGGTTGATTGTTTAAGTTTAAAGGTGAGATGCTGGTCGTCACAGTAACCTTGATATCTTAGAAGCTGCCCCCACCCTGTAATAGTGGCTGTAAGGATTATATTAGGGCCCTATTATATCCCTATTATACCACTATTACAGGGTGGGGGCAGCTTCTAATTGATATCACCCAGAACGGGTACATACTTGCAGCACTGCTTTTGGCAGCACTCTGAACAGATGCCAGGTTGTGGTCATAGGAAGTATCAGTGTACCAGTGTACCCTACTTAACGGATCATGGGACTTAGTAACTGGGGTTATAATTCAGGTAACTATACTTGTAACTCCACTTAGGGTACCTGTACTGTAACCTTACTTACTAAGTCCGATGATCCTCCAAGTAGATGTTCCAGTGTAGTTCGTTTGGTTGCTTCCCTGGGACCTTGTCGCTGAAACTGCGCGTTTCTGCTTCCGACATCCGAAGCAGATCTAGAAGGATCTTCGTTCGGAGCATCTGGCCCATGAATGCTTCATCAGTAAACCTAGTAGTAGAGTAGGTAACCTTCAACTTTTTTGGTAGTACAGTCACCATGTAATCCCTATATACCCAAAAAGGTTAACCTTTATTAGTTCCCCATGATACCCGACAAGTAGGTAAAGGGTGGCCGAGCTGCAAGAAAGGGTACCGAAGAAAGATTGCGGGGCGAAGGCAAGCATGGCCGGAGTTCGACGGTCTTCCGGCTTAGGGTTTAGGGTTTAGGGTTTAGGGCTGAGCTTTCGCATGCGCACGCCTTTCTCTGGGGAGGGGCTTGTGGCCGCCAAGAAGCACAACACATTTCGGACCACCGATTCCAAAGCCCAGCCGTGGTCGCTTTTTTGTCCGACAGTGACTTGGGGTTTTGGGCAGCGTTGTCAGGGGATTGGAATGCCGTAGCATACGGCACAACAAGTACAGCGGTAACACTGCTGTGCTGCTTTCCAGAGACTCCAATATCCCTTAATCAAGGAATATCACTGAAATTATAGTAGGATCCCTAATGTGATTTTCGGTATATTCAGTAATGAAGAGACATTCGAGTCTCTGCGTTTAAGACGGGGTTTTTGTGCTGTTTCAAGATCAAGGACATTGTGGACCCCAAGTTGGACACTCTACGCCCAATATCAAATATCCTTGATTTCTCTGCGAATGCCCACCTTTCGGCGTCAATGTCAAGCCCTAAACGGCCCCCCTGAACCCAAAACCCTATAACCCTACACTCTCAACCCTAAACCCTAAACCGAATCGCTTGCCATGGAGGCCTATCAGATCGAGATGCGGGTGCCAAAGTGGTGCATAGGCCGGTCCGTCGTTGCTGCAAGGTTTGGAGGTCAGGGTTCCCGTTTAATGACGGTTTAGGGGTTCAGGGTTTATCTTAGGGATACTTAGAAATAATTTTTAATTTCTGGTTATTATAATCCCTAAGAAACAGCTAAAACTATAATTTTTGCTAGGGTTCCAAGTTCAGTATAGTTATGGTGTGGGGGTTTAGGGTTGAGGTGTCTAGGATCAGGGTGTAGTGGTTGAGGGCTTAAGGGTTTCCAGTTGGGGTTTATGGCGTTCAAAAGATTTCATGGACAGGGTTTACATAGAGGTTTAGGGTTTAAGGGTTTCCAGTATGGATTTATGGCCTTTGAAAGGTTTAAGTTTGTTTCACTTGGAACTCAATATTAAGGTCTCCATGGGCGTATGGTGTGCCGGTTGGTCAGATTGGTGCATGCAGCCAATTGTGATGAGGCTTTGGCCTTCGGCTGTGCCACAAGTAAGGCCTTTGGACTTATGTTCAGAATGAGTTCCTAAACGCCAAACCCTAAACCTAAGCCTGCGAGCTAATCTGAATCCCTTTAGGTCCGACGCACCCCAACTCCAAAACTCTACTTGGAGGATCATGGGACTTAGTAAGTAAGGTCAGAGGTTATATGTACTTTAAGTCATCAGGACACGGACGCGATGTCCAGGCGATCCTCAAGCGCTTCTGTGTGAGCCGCTGCTTTGCCGAAGAACAGGGTCCTGCCGAGCATTTTGCCCGAGTCGTATTGTGCTCACCGCTCGTCTGAACTGGGAGTTTCCGAAAACAGGGGACCTAGTATAGTTTAGGGTAGGATCCTTATTATAAGGACTCCGCAATAAGGGCCTAATTTCGGAAGCTCCCAACTGCTGCAAGAAAGCGCTGCCAAGTGCCTCTCTGTACTGCGTGTCAATGGTGATGATGTTTCCAGACCGTGGCTGATCCTGAACGAGACGGTGTGGGCCAAAAGCTGCTGCCAGATCACTGGCCTGCAGCGAGAAGGCAGGCCGTTCATTTATTGGTGGCTGCTGCAAGCAATCACTTATACGTATAGTTACCTTTAGAATAACCCTAACTGGCCTTATAAGTCCCATGAACCTCCAACTATGGTGTCGGCCTCTTAGTACTCCACCAGATAACTCTAAACCTTTCCGGGCTAGTATGATCCGTATACAACACAATCTCAGAAGGTTTAGCTTTAGATCTTCGAAGAACCCGAGGCCCCATACCTCATAGGGATCCTTAGGGGTGTAGGGGGGAGGGGTTTAGGGGACTATATTTCCTTAAATAGGCCTTATTAGTCCTTATTATGGGCCTTAAGGCCCCCTAACCCCCCTCCCCCCCTCCCCCTACACCCCTAAGGATCCCTATGAATACCCTACAATGGGTAGGGTTTCCAGGGTTTCAGGGTTTCGGGTCTGAGGTTGCGGTTTAGGGTTTTTGTGGCTCTTAAATCCCACCTCCTTCCTAAACCCTGAAATGCAAATCCAAAACCTAAACGCCAAACCCCTATAAACCCTAAACCCTAGCTAAACTTCAAATCCTAAACCAGTACTTGGAAGATCATGGGACTTAGTAACTAGGCTTTAAATTAAGGTAACTATACTTACAATTGCTTATCACCCCACTTAAGGTACTTCTATCCTTATTTACTAAGTCCCATGATCCCCCAAGTAAGCAACCTCCTAAACCCTGAACCCCAAAATACCAAACCCTAAACCCTAAACCCTAACTAAACCCTAAATCCTAAGCCAGTAAGCAACCTCGGAGGACCCTTCAGGTTGAGCTTCCACAAGCGAGTGGCCGTCCACACCGACGAGCCGTGACGTGGTCTCAAAAATTGTGGCTTCAGCGGGTAGCAATTGGGGTTTTTAGGATTTAAGAATTCATGCAGGGTTTAGGGATTATGGCTTGGGGGATGGGTCTGTTAGGTTTCGGATAGATTTCGGGGCTTTTAGGGTTTTGTCGTTTTGCGATTTGTTCAAGGTGCAGGTGCTGTACGTAGAGGATCATGGGACTTAGCAGCTGGGGTTATAATTAAGGTAACTATACTTACAACTACTTTCATCCCCACTTAAGACACTTATAACCGTACTTACTTAGTCCCATGATCCTCCTTCATAGAACTCTCATAGTAGATCCCTTTTAGGATCCCTTTCAGGAACCCTACTTTCTAAGTCCCATGCTCCTCCAAGTAGGGCGCAAGGTTTCGAGAATCTGGAGCTGTAGTTTCGTATGTGGTTTGTTGATGTAGGGCTGGAGATCGTTTGTCCTGAGGCTATAAGGTTATAAGGGGCTCTATAAGGGTTTAGAGTTTCCGAAAGTAAGGGGTACCTTTAAATGGATCCTTTAAGGGTTCCTTAAAGGGATCTAGAAGGATTCTATAAAGGTTCAAGTTTAAGGTTTGGAGTTCCGACAATTAGGGCTACCTTATGTGGAGGTCCATATAACAAGGATCCTACTATTCAGGGTGCTATACTAGGGTCCCGAAACCTCCATATGGTTCAGGATTTAGGGTGACGATCGCCCCTGCCTGCTTAGGCTCATACGGCTGATGATCTAAATCCTGCATTACCTAAAAGAAGGGATATACCATAATTCCCATAGTTTAGGGTCCTTAAGGTTATGCAGGATTTATATCATAAGGCATAGTGAGTCTCGTTTAGTGGCTTGCACTCCTTGTTTTCTGCTCCGGACCTCCATGGATCGTGTCGCATGTGAGTGAGTGAGTCAGTGAGGATCATTTCAAAACATCCCGAGGCACCCCTAGCTTCAAGACATGGGTTCAAAGAGGCTTAGGGTTGCAGGGCTTCCGATTTTGGGATATGTGATGAAGATCGTTCCTGCGGTTTCGCTGTTTTAGCGATACTATTATATAAGGCTTTGAGGTTTATGTGTTTAGGACTTAGGTGTTCAGCGGTATGTACCTCGAAAACTATGGGGTTCAAGTTCATGTGGTTTGGCATTTGCGGGGTTTGGGCCGTCTCGGGAGTCAGGTTCGTGACGGTGACAAATGTCAACCCCGCAAACCCCTGAATGATTCAGGAGCATACCTTAAAGGATCCGTTTAGAGGATCCTTTAAAGGATTCCTTAAAGGATCCCTATAAAGGATCCCTTAACATTTCTTAAAGGATTCCTTAACGGATCCCATTAAAGGATCCCTTCCTTCAAGGATCCCTTTAAAGGATCCCTTAAGGGCTTTGGGAGTTTCTAGGTTGTTAGTTGTGATTTGGGAGGCTTGAGCTACTGGACAGCTGAGGCTAATGCCTGCAGAGGCAGCCGCGCGGCATGGAATTTTAGGTCTTCGATGGGGTTTAGTGTGTAGGGTTTAGGGTCTAGGGCCTGGATAGTTATCGCTAGAATCATGGGGCCTTTGCGCCGCAAGTGGTCGGAGTAGTACGGCCCTTTACGGAACCGCTGCAGATGCTACATATCCGGAGGGAAATACTTCTTGAAGCTCGAAAACCTAAAAACTGCAATCCGGTGATCCTTCTAGAAAGCATATACTATATAGGGCATATGGAGCCTTAACTGGGGTCTTAACCCTACATAGACGTGACATAACCCAGAAGGAAGCCATCCTTAAACCCTTAGGCCCTTAGGCTCCAAAGCTTAAGCCCTCCAAACCGTAATCTTTTAAACACCAAGCCCTGAACCCTTAAAGGAACCCTCAAATGGAAGCCCAACATAGTCTCATTTTTAGGGATAAACCCTAAAAACCTACAGCCCGAACCTTGAAATCCTTATTGAACCCCTAAACAGACCCCTTAGAGAATCCTTGCAGAACCCTTCTAGGGCCCTCAGAAAGAACCTTTAAACCAACCTCGAAGTCCGTGGAACGACAAAGATTTAAACTCTAAACCCCCAAGCCCCTACAGTAGACCCAAAAAAGTTGGAAACCGGATTAAGGCCAAATAGTGCTGGGATTACCTATACATTGTTCTTAAGGATTGAGGCTATTGAGTTTCCAACTTTTGGGCTTCTACTGTAAACCACTAAACCCCCAAGCACTAAACCCCTAGAGCCCTAACGCCCGAAACCGATAAACCCCTAACCCTAAACCCCTAAACCCCTTAACCCCCAAACCCCTAAACCGCTAACCCCAAGAGCCGCCGAGGAGGCTGCACCGAGCCCTCCGAACTCGCGCCCGCCCTTCGGAACCCAAAAGCCGAAGTTTTTTTACAGGGATCTCTAAGGGTACCTTTAAGGGGCTCCGTTTAGGGATTTATAGGGATTCCTTAAAGGGTTCCTTTAAAGGGATCTATAGGAGTTAGTCCTGGAGGTTCCTTTGAAGGTTTTTAGGGCTTACTTTAAAGGATCTATAAGGGTTCCTTAAAGGGGATCTATAAGGGTTCATTGAAAAACATCCATAAGGGTTCCTTTAAGTGTAAGTCCTGGAGGCTCCTTTAATTAGGGACCCAAAAAGCACATAAGCATAAGCATTTTACCGGGATATCCCGACCTTATTGGGCTTCCTTTTAAGGGGGTTTATATGGGATATCCCTATCCTAATTTTTGCTTATGTGCTTTTTTGGGGGGTCCTATTTAAAGGGATCTCTAAGGGTGCCTTTAAGGGGCTTCTTTTAGGGATCTATAGGGTTTTAGGGTTTAGAGTGATGATCTAAATCCTGCATTACCTTAAGGTTCCTAAACTACGGGAAGTATTGTATATTCCTTCTTATGGGTAATGCAGGAATTATATCATCAACCGTCAAAGGGCTCCTTTCAGGGTCCCTTTAAGGATTCCTTTTAGGGTGCTTTTAAGGTTTCCTTTGCGGGCTACTTCAAGGGTTCCCCTGAGGGGTCCTAGAGGGCTCCTTTACGGGATCTACGAGGGTTTGGAGTGTAGGGTTTCGATTTGAAGGTGGAGGGGAACTCCTGGAAGCATTCCATTACCGCAGACTTCTGGGATTCATGTTAAGGTTTAACGGCAGCTTCAGCGGTTTATGATACGTACACCGTTTCTGTGAGAGAGTCTAAAGGTTGATAGGGATTCGAGTTTGAGGTGTTCTGTTGATGAATTCGATTGCTGTGTGTACAGGGTTGTATGAGGTGTTATGGGGTTGAAAGCTAGATGTGTAAGAGTCCAAATAGGGCTTCCAGGAGATGTTGGGCGGCTTCGTGGGGGTTTAGGATTTACCCGGAACCTGCCTTTCTAGGGTTCCCGAATATGATTTCTTCATATAAGTCCTTAAAAAATAGGTTACTTGGGGTTAAGGTAGGACTTGGGGCTTCGCCACAATCTGTTGCTGTGATTTAGCAGCGACTTCTTGATTTTCCGGTCTGTGCAAGCTTGAGGGAAGTCGGCTTATGCACAAGCTCTTTTGAGCTTGGTGTTGGACAAGGGATGACGGCTTCGGGTGTATAATACAGGAACATGTCAATGATTGTCGGTGGTTTAAGAAGTTATCTAATCAAAAGGTCGGAAGAATTAGCAGTACTATTCTTTACGGCTCCTTAGTGTTATCTTACTACAAGATACTACAACATACCGTAATATAGGGGCTTAAACAAGTGACAAGACTATTGTTTTTTGAGGGGGGTGTCCTTGATTGAATTACAGTATAATGGGTACCAAACCCTATTTTAATTATTAAGGCCCACACACTAACCCTTGAATATTAACCCTTATAGGACCCTTTAGACGAATCCTTTCAAGGAACCCTTCCAAGGAACCCTATTCTACTTCTTGAGCCACTAAAACTCCCTTGGAGTTGTCCTAAACCCTAAACCCTAAACCGTTATTCCGGCCTCTTTGATACAGCGGGGCGCTTTACGGGCCTCATGTTTTGAGGATTTTTTTGCAAGCGCTCCAATGAGGGTTTGAAGTTTATAGGGTTTAGGATTTAGGGTTCAGGGTTTAGGGTTTGGGGAGGATCATGGGACTTAGTAAGAAAGGTTATAAGAAATTTAAGTGGTTTTCATCTGTAATTGTAGATATAGTTACGTACCTTAATTGCAACCTGATAGTTACTGTGTCCCATGACCCTCTAAGTAAACCTTAACCCTTCGTCAATGACTTCTCAACCTTACCAGTTCCTTTGCAGACACCATCAACAGCTATTTAACAGTGTCGTATGCTGGCCTTGCTGTGCCATTTGGGAGTTTCCGAAAGTAGGGGTACCTTATTCTGAGCTCCTCATACTAAATAAGGTTCTTACTATGTAGGGTGCTATATAAGGGTCCCCTATGTTCGGAGACCCCCATTTCTATCCCAGATTAAACTCCTTTCCAACCCCATGGCCATGTTCAACCCTAAAGCCCTAAAGTAAAAGCCAGAAAGTTGGAATATGATTATCCTAACCCCTTTATGGTAAATTATAGGGTATCCTACCCTGAAACCATGTTCCAACTTTCTGGAGTTCCCTTTATATCCTGAACCCCAAATGCTGGGCCCCTGAACCCGATTACACCACCCACACCCTTAGCCCGTAAACCGTAAACCCTGGCTTTGTGATACGGTGGCCCAGGACCTGTCCGAATGGCCTCTCGGCGACGGAGTTGGAGCTGTTGTGCTTTTGTTGTTGGGCTTGGGGGGGTGTAGAGTCGAGGGGCTTAGACCTTTTGGTTGTTGGCTTTAGGATTTACTATGGAGGGTCGGACGAAACATCAACACCAACATACCTATTGTAGAGTCCACTCAAAGACTTTGTTCTAACTGTAAAGGGCCTTGTATTAGGCTTTTACATACATGTTGTAGTGTTTAGAGTGTACGTAGTGTACAAGCCTGAAAAATGAATACTATTCCTTAACGTCCGCACTATGATTAGAAGTTACCGGGAGAGTCCACATACACTGCGACTATGGAACTAGGCCCCAGAGACCATCCTTCTTGTGGTCTTCGGGTCCTAATTCCATAATGGTAGTGTATATGGACCCTCAACCCTAAATCCCTAAACCACTAAACCCTAACACCCAAAGCCCTAAACCCTAAGTGGTACATATGGGTGGTTGTCAAAATTAGGTTTCATTTTTTGGGTACCTAATATAATACGGCACCTAATATTTACGGTACGCAAGGGGGCCCTAATTTTGACAACCACCCATACGGTTGATGACATAAATCTTGCATTGCCTTAAAGACCGTAAACTCTGGGAATTGTGGTACATTCCTTATTAAGGGTAATGCAGGAATTATATCATCAACCATGTGGGCCCTCTGGGTTATTTCCCTCAGAGGCTGCAAGCGACCTGTGGCCCGTGGATATGGCATCTGCTGCCGGACGTGCAACCTCTCCAACGGCACCTTTGGCAAAGACTTAGGGTCTAGGGTTTTATAGGGTTTATAGGATAGGGTTTATAGGGTGTATAGGGCTTATAGGGCTTAGGGTTTAGGGTTTATACTTAGTAGCTGACTGGATACACTTGACACTTTTTGGGATAATATTACCCACTATAAAACTAAACGTGTACATTTTTTTTTTTTTTTGGGGGGGGGGGGGGGGGTGTTATGAACTCAACACCTTTGGCAAAGAGCTCCAAAGAGTGGGATGAAGAGGGTTTAGGGCGAGGGTGGGATGATTATTAGGGATCCTAAAAGGACGTAAGCATAAGCATTTTATAGGGATGTCCCTACCTTATTGGGCTTCATTCTAAGGGGGTTTATATGGCCTGATGTTCCGAGGAATGATTCAAAGGGCTCCAATTGGGGTTTAGGGTCCAGGGTTTGGAGTTTCGGGCGAGAGTGGGATGAAGGTAGGTGGGGTAGTCTTAGAATAAGAGTTTAGGTACTGCCCCCATACAGTAAGAGTCTATAGTAGGGCTGCTCTTAAGGTCCTATCATATCTATATGATGAATATTATTCAACTATTACTGAGCGGGGGCCGTACCCAAATAAGAGTCCTGTAAAAAGCGATCCTTTATCCTACCTGTTTTCATCCCACCTTTTGAGGCCTCCAACTTGGGCTCCCCTGAGAGGGATGTCTGAGGATTCCTTGAACAGACCGGCAAGGGCTCTATAGGTTCTATACCCAGACCTTCCAAAATCCCTTAATTAAGGAATATCCCTTAAATTATAGTAGGATCCCTAATATGATTTAAGGTATATTCCTTAATTAAGGGATTTTGGAAGGTCTGGGGGGGTTTATAGGTTCTATACGACCCCCCAAACTCCCCTCTAGTATACCGCAAATGCAAATGCCCACTATTAAGGAGCCCGGGGCTCCATTAACGGGTCCTTGGGAGGTCCTGGGGCGTAGGCGTGTTTAGGTAGGGATTAGGGTTTAGGGTTCAGGGATTAGGGTTTAGGGGGGATTAATAGGGCTTAAGGAAAAATTTTGCATTCTGAACTTTCTACTCTGACCACTATGTCCCAAAAATACCCTAAACCTGCATTTCGGTATCCTCATCGTGTCCTGAACGCTGCCCAGGCAAGAGGCATGGTCCAGTTTGCGAACGCCGCGCTTGCCTCGGTGTGCTTGCAATCTTGAGTTCCATACGGACCCCCTGGGACAGGGTATTCCGGAGAACCTAAAGGGCAAATCTGAAACCCTAAACCCCAGAATGCCCTAAAGGTCAAACCCGATGAGGGTATTTTTGCAGCTTATTCACCCTAAGCGCTAAACCCTAAACCCTAGGGTTTAAGTTTTAGGATTCAGGGCTTGGGGATTAGAGCTTAGATCCGAACCCCCGAACCATAAACTTATGCCTTAAGGCTCCATATTCGTAGTATGTGCGTAGCCCTTAAATTACCTATATAGGAATCCCTTTGCGGCCTAAGTATATACGATCTAGCTACCATGGAGGTGTTTTTGTGTGTAGGGTTTAGGGTTGGTTCGATCGATCGGCTGCGCTCAGGTCTTCAGGGACAAGCAGCTTCGGCGGTGGAGACAGGCAAGGGAAGGGTTTAAGGAGGTTTTCCATACGTTTCTTCATAGGTTCTCCACCTTGTTATCAAGTCGTGTTTCTTCATATGTATAAAATATTTTACACGGGATAAACTGGGCTTCTTTCTTATAGGGTTGTTATGATGATGACGGGTGCAAAGAGTTCTGATTATAACAGATGTTTCAACAGGGTTCATAATTATGTATTGGTAATATCGTTTGCTTGGCAGGCCTTTTAACGATTTGTTTTGTAGAGGCTTTGGGCTTGGTGTTTTCGGCTTTATAAAGCCCAAGGCACGAAGCTTAACCCGCTTAGAGTAACAGAGCTGTTACAGGATTCTGCTTCGCGCTATGCACAAAGCAAAGCTCCCTCATTGTGCGAGGAGTAGAAGCCTCGCCGTCGGCCGGCAGCGCCCCCTCTTGTGACGAGGACGAGGAGGACATTGTTTAGACATCAGGCCCTTGATCGTTTTTTTGATACTTAGGGTTCAGGTTTTGGGGTTTAGGGGTCGTTTAGGATGCCAGATGGTTGATCAGGTTTTGCACTTAGGGTTCAGTGATCGTTTTGGGTTTTAGGTTGCTGGTTGGGTTTAGGGGGATGTTGTATGGTTTGGTCATGGGGCTCTGATGGTGTACTGTACAGCACCCGAAAACCCTACGCCCCAAACCGGTAAGAGGTTTCCGAAGGGCTTAGGAGCTTTTGTGCAGAGCGAGGTCAGGACTTGATGTAGGGGGATATCAACCTGGTTTACGTACATATCTGTATCCATGTATAGGGAGAGAGGTTGGAGAGAGAGAGAGAGGAGAGAGACAGACAGAGAGAGAGAGAGAGAGAGAGATGGAGAGAGGGAGAGAGAGACATCCCGCAAGCCCTAAGCCCTGAACCAGGTCTCTGCAAGATGTCTTTTCGGGTTCAGGTGGTTTATGGTTTAAGGCATGTGACCGGGCTGTGCCCTCTGAAAACCTCCTGTTCCAAGGCGTGTATTTCCGCTTTTGGGTTTGGGGTTTAGGCTTTCGCAAACAATAACCGTAAGGCTCCATGTACCTGTGTAGTAGATACTTAAGCCTTAAAGGGTCCCTATATAGGTAGTTTAAGGCCTAGGTATATACTATATGGTTGCATGGAGCCTTAGGGTAAGCTAGTGTTTCCTACAGGATTGGGTGCGGGAGATTCCTGATTAGGCATGCACCCTGCCTCAAGGTGGGATGTTTAGCAGGGTTCCGCCCTAAGCCCTTTAAAGCGTTCCTAGTATTGCGGCCCTCAACACGCCCTAAGGCTCCATGTAACCATATAGTATATACTTAAGCCTTAATGTACCTATATAGGCACCCAGGGTGCCTATATAGGGGCACCCTTTTAGGGCTTAAGTATCTACTATAAAGGTAAATGGAGCCTTAGGGACGGTGGTTCATGGGTTGATTTGATCAAGCACTTCGGAAGTTCAGGTCCTAGGGCTCGGGGTTCCGTGGGTTTCGGATTTGGCTGTTTGAAAGGCTTCTAGGGTTGAGGGTTTAGAGTTCGATGTTCCGTCGTTTTCGGATATCAGGGTTTAGGGGATTTGGCGTTTGAAAGGCTTCTTCAAGGGCGTTGGAAGGCTTTTAGGGTTACGTAGGGTTCTTGCAGGGCTATGTACCTCTAAGGGCCCATGCACTTGCTCAGTATTCGCTTCGCCTTAAAGTATTGCTCTTTGGAACTGCAAATGTTCCAACGGAAAAGCCATTTATCTGACTTGAGGGCCTAGGGCTGCTTCTGCTTTCCGAGGAGCTTTGCCCGGTGAGCTTGCATGGTTGCCTAAGCCGAATTCAGCTGTAGCAGAGCCCCAAAGATTCGGGTTTCAGGATGCTTTAGCTGACTTAGGGGACTTATATCCCCAATTATAATTAACCGGCTTACTAAGTCCCATGATCCTCTCAGTAAACCCTCAAGCCTCTACACCGTTAAAGTTTCAACCAGGGTTTCGGTCCAAATCCTGAGCAAGATGTTCAGTAACCTCCCGCATCATGAAACTCTCTATGCGAGTCGACACTGATAAAAGGCCCTAATATAGGGGCCTTGATAATTAGAACAGGGTTGCCTGAAAAGGGGCGCTAATAATTAGAATAGGGTTTTGGTGCCCACTATACTCTAATTATGGCAAGGAAAGCCCAGAATAGTATTGGTAATTACTGGGCCCCCATATTAATACCTAATAATCCCCAAACCCTATAACAGGCCCGGACCCCAAAAACCACACCACAAAAGCACACATCGAAGACCCTCGCAGGAACTATTAATAGGGTTCCTTTATACGAACCCTTCAAAGATCCCTCAAGGGAAGCCTTAGTGGAGCTCTGCGTCACATTACGGTCGCTCAGAGTAGAGCTCAGAGAGCCATCTACCCAGAGCCTCCAAAGTGGGGTTTCTTGGCTTCTTCGGTTTAGGGTTTAGGGTTTGCAGGGGTTTCCTGGCTTCTTCGGAGTAAAAGCGGGGCTTAGGGTTTGCAGTTTCGGTTTGAGGTTTCAGGTTGCCTGCACAAACAGCCTTAGCTAAGAGATAGTGGAGTCTCCGGGAATTCAAACCATTCCCCAAAGGGGAGAGGTTTCGAGTTGCGCACGGCATCTCTGCGTGGCTTTGAAAGCTCTTGCCTGCTTGACGCACCTTGCCACTGTAAATTCAAGGTCTTGGGAACTTCTTGGCTGCATACGTTGTCAACCGGGCTTTCCAAAGTTTTTTGGGTTTAGCGTTCTAAATAAATCGACGCCGTCGTTTGCAGACTCAGCAGGTGCTAGAACCCTATAGTAGTTTGTGAGCTAGTTTGTTAGTAGCGTTGTACAAACAATATGGGAAGTTCCAAAAATATTTCACCCTAAACCCTAAACCCTAAACCCTGATCCTCACTGCATTTAGGGTTTAGGGGCTTAGCACTCAGGGGATCGAGAGGCTTGGACCTTCCAAAGTCCCTGAATTAAGGAAGATCCCTTAGGGTTCCTTTAAAGGGATCCTTAAAGGGATCTATAGGGTTTAGGGTTTAGGCGATTCTAATACCCCTTAATCAAGGAAGATCCCTTAAATTATAGTAGGATCCCTAATATGATTTAAGGTATATTCCTTAATTAAGGGATTTTGGAAGGTCTGGGGGCTTGGGTTTTAGGGCCATGTGTAGGATCTACTAACCCAAAGGCTCCATGTACCTTTAAAACAGATACTTAGGCCCTAAAGGGGTCCCTATATAAGTACCTTTAAGGCCTAAGTATAAACTGTACCTCATAAAGTAGATACTTAGGCCCCAAAGCGGTCCCTATATAGGTACTTTAAGGCCTAAGCATAAACTATATGGGTACATGGAGCCTTATAGACTAAAAGCTGGTAGTGAAGACGACGCTCTGCCAGTGCTTCGTGCTCCCCACGCAGCTCTGCGCACCGAACTCACGGAGCCTGAAGCCCAGATGCAGTTGGCGCGACTTTGACTTTGAAGGTAATGTAGGAACCTTAGGGTTCCTTTAGGGGGTAGGGTTTAGGGTTTAGGGTTTAGGGTTTAGGGTTTAGGGTTTAGGGTACTATATATAAGGGTTATGTTGAGAGTTTTAGGCTTTGGGGTTCAGGGTTTTAGGGTCTAGAGGTTTGCGCTTTACTGTTGAGGGAGTTACTCATTGCTGTTCTCATTTGGGTTTGGGCTTCGGAGGTGCTGTCAGCTTCGTTTGGCAACAATGTGGAAATTTCCGAAAATTAGGGGTACCTTACTTTGGGGTCCTTATAACAAGGATCCTACTATTTAGTGGTACTATAGTTGGGTCTCCTATTTTATCGGAAACTCCCATGCACGTGTCACGAGAAATGGTTTCGTCTTTGTGTCCGCATCACATGTCCCAACCCATTAAACCCCGAAACTCTACATGAGCCTCATAACCCGTTAGGGAACCCACTATCCACATAGCGGAGTTTTCGATACCGAAAACACTGCAGAGTATGCTTTGGAGCGCCTATCAGCCTACTTTCTGGGAGCTCGGACCCTCTATAGATAAGTCTTCATCCCAAAACCGCTCAGTCACACCCTAAACCCTAGCTCACAAAACTAAATCTTTTAACCCAAACCCTTTAAACTCCCGACCCCGCATCCCAAACCCTAAACCCCTAAACCTCTAAACCCGGAAATCCCCCCTCACCCTAAGAGCTTTCAGTCACTCCGTACAGCTCGAGTCGCGAGGTCCCTTCGTCTCGACGCAAGGCTATCCCATGATCAGGCACTGTCGGGGGTTTAAGGCTTTTAGGGATTCGGGTTTAGAGTTTGAGGGTCTTAGGGCTTCATGGGCGTTTTGAAATTCAGGGTCAAGGGCTTTGCACCTTGGATGTTTCAGGGCTTAGGATTTAGGTTTCGGTTCTCCTCTTCTTTGTTCGACCTTTCGGACTGTTGAGAGTAGGCTGTGCGGCTGCCTTCCAATAGTGCAACTACTAGGATGCCCAGTATTACCCTTATTCCCTTTTTGTAGTCCTAGGTTCCTTGTAAAGTTACCCAATACCAAAAAGAGAGGCCTTTTTATTCTTAGGTTGCTGGGTATCCTAGACTAGGGTTTATCAATTTGGGGCCAGAGTGCTTCGCGAAACATGCAAGATTCCTTGAGACAAAGATCTTGTTCGTGTTCTGCCCAGACCTTCCAAAATCCCTTAATTAAGGAATATCCCTTAAGTTATAGTAGGATCCCTAATATGATTTAAGGTATATTCCTTAACTAAGGAATTTTGGAAGGTCTGGGTGAATTCCTCATTCAGGTTGATGAACTATGGCTTTTTCAGGGCCATAGCGGCGAGGAAATTGTGTAGGGTGTCTCAGGGTTTGGAGAGTTTACTTAGCATCTGGCAATGGGCTAGCGTTGAAGCCAGATTTCCTTAAACACAGAAATTGCATACTGCTGATGGACAAAATCCTGCATTACCCTTTATAAGGAATATACCATAGCTCCCATCGTTCAGAGTTTTTAGGGTCATGCAGGATCTTGTCCATCAACAGTACCGTTACATATTCGTAAGCCCGAAACCCTAAACCCTGATATTAGTCAGTCTCTGGACTGGAGCACGAATATGACTCAAAGGGGAAAAGAAGGGACCCTTACGGGGGACCCGTACCCTATAATGGGTATATAATGGCTATATTGAGGGTATATACCTAGGGGTCCTTGTTGAGGGTCCCTCCTTTTACCCTTGGAATGACAGAGCATCTGTGGTGGAGGAGGAGTTCCGGGTTCGAACGCGCTAACTCAAGACCTGCACTTACACCTCGAGTGACTGGCTATGCTGAGCCGTGTTCAGATTCATATTGCTTCGCTGAACATGCAATCAAGCCTATATTTCCATCCCCAACCACAGATGAGAACCCCGAGATTCTACATCTTCAGCTCTGGCTAAGGTTTAGGGTTTAGGGGTTTAGGGTTTAGGTCTTCAGCTCCAAACCAAAGCTCATTGGGTTTGACTCTTCGACTTCAACAAATGCCAGCGCCCTGCAAACCTGCAGCCAAAGCCACTAACAGCCCCAAGAAACCCCAACGTGGCTGACATTAAAGCCTATAACTATAGTATACATATCTACAAACATTATTCACTAGGGTTCCTCATTATATGACATATAGTATAACGGAGCCCCAAACCCTATTCTGGGTGGCAAGGACCCTGCATTAAACCTTGGCTGAGGTCAACAGCTCCATGTTCAAGCGAGGTGGAGTCCAGGTGCCTAAACCCTGAGGGTTTAGGGTTTAGGGGCCTAAACTGTACCTTAAATAGTGTTCCGGGATCCCCCAAGAACCCTTTAATAGAGCCCTATTTAAATGGTCGTTAACAGTGGGTGTGTGGGTACATTGGAGGGTAGTTGGGGGGTCCAGGTTTGTTCTCTTGTTCAGGGTTGAGGGTTTAGGGCACTTTAGGGCGCAGGGTTTAGTCGACTTTTGTTGGCTTATGAGGGTTTCACCGGGTCTTGCATACAGCCCGGGATTTGTTTAGGGCGAAGGGATTACTTAAAGGATGATGGGACATAGTACCTCGGGTCAGAATTAAGGTAACTATACTGCAAATCGCTGATAGCCCCACTTAAGGCACTTATAATCTTACTTACTCAACCCCAGATCACCCTTTAAGTAAAGATCCCTTTAGGGATCCCTGTAAGGAGCCTTACTTGGTCAGTCTTCGAAGTAGGGTTCAAGCGTGGTTGTGGTATTCGTGGCGGGTTGTCCTTTTGCTTCTCGGCAGACTGCCAGAGCCTCTAGCCGGGTTTAGGGTTTAAGGGGGTTTAGGGTTCAGGGTTTAGGGGGTATTGGGGTTCAGGGTTTAGGGGGTATTGGGGTTAAGGGTTCATGGTTTAGGGTTTTAGGGGTTTAGGGTTCTGGGTTCAGGGCGGTTTAGGGTTCTGGGTTCAGGGCGGTTTAGGGTTCTGGGTTCAGGGCGGTTTAGGGTTCTGGGTTCAGGGCGGTTTAGGGGGTTTAGGCTGTAGGGTCCGCCTGTGCCGCTTACACGAGTAGGTTTACTGGAACTTCGTACGCAAGCACGGTCAAGCTTGAGGACCCTGAAACACATGGGGCCCAAAGTAGGCTCCTTACTTGAAGGATCGCGGGACTTAGTGAATGAGCTGCATGAGTTTATTCGGGTTTACGGGCTAATTCAAAACTCTGCATAGCAACTGGCACATCGTGGAACGTGTGTGGACCTCACCACTCTTCGAAACCCCAAACCCGTAAACCCTAAACCCCTAAACCCTAAACCCCTATACCCTAAACCCTAAACCGAGCTCAGTCCGTTGATGCGTCGTGGCAGCGGCAATTACTTCGGAGGTGAGCAGGGAGCTTTGGCCA